GGGACACGGGCAGATAGGTGTGGGATCACAGGGATAGGGGACACAGGGGCCGGGGACATGTGGACACAAGGAGGCAGGAGGAGGGGGGCATGAGTAACATGGAGATGCCGGGATATGAGGGACAGGGATGTGGGGATGCAGGGTCACAGGGAAATGGGGTGATGGGAGCACTGGGTCCCATGTTCTTGGGCAGGGGGATGGGGGGACATGGGGAGTGTTGGGGCACTCCCCCCTGGCATCACTGGAGACCAAGTCCTTGTGTGTGATGAAACACAGGGCACTGGTCCTGGGATGTGGGGACATGAGGGACATTGAGGGACAGCCCCCAGCACAGGGATGTGTGAGGTCCCACATCACACGGGGGCACAGAGCCCCTGGCTTGGCAGAGCTGTGCCTTGGGGACACAGGCACAGAGCTGAGCAGTGGCACTCAGCGGGGGCCACCTGGAATCATGGTGTCCCCAGCCAGCCMCTGTGTGTCCCCCTGTCCCTCTGTTCCCCTCCCAACCCTCTCCCATCCCCTGCATCTCCCACTTCTCTTTCTGTCCTGATTTTTCTCTGTGGTTCCTGCACAGCTTGTGGCTCTCCCCACTGTCCCATTCTTCCCCTTCTTTCTCTTCCCATGACATTTCTAGGGTTGCYTGCACATGTCCTAGTTCCCCTGGCGTGTGACAATGCACAAGGCTGGGCTGGGAATGTGTCACCAGCTCTGTTATTCCTCTTCTTGGCTGGAAAATGAATCAGGGCCACTCAGTGCCCACTTTGGTGACARGAAAGGGACGGTGCTGGTTGGCCTCATCCACATCCAGCTGTGACACCAGCTTTCAGCCTGACCCGGTGATCCTTGGGGATGTCTGCTCCTGGCAGGACTGGCCAGGCAGGGGGCCCAGCACCCCGGGGTGCTGCAATGGGGGCAGGGACACATGTCACCGGGCTGAGAACACCTTCCTGTCCCACGCATGAGGCACAAACAGGCGCACATCATCTCYCCGCTGTGGTTCTCACCCGCCACCTTCACCTGCATCTCTCGCTTCCTCCTCCCCGCGGTGTGGCGGCGGCCGGAAATCTCCCCAGCCCGATAGCGTGCCCCAGATGCTCGGAGCTGGTGACAGCCGGCGGTGACATCGTGCCCCCGTCTGGCGGTGACATCGTGCCCCCGTCTGGCGGTGACATCGTGCCCCAGTCTGGCGGCACACACCGCAGGACTGTGGGCAGGACGCCGGCGTGACGTGGTGCAGACAAAGGGAGGGTGACAGCGGGGAAGGGGCGTGTGACAGTGCCACCGTGCTGCCAGCCCAGTGCGCTTGTGCTGACCCGGCTGGCACAGCGGCCGCTCTGCAGAGATGTCCCGGCCGGTGCTGTCACCTGCTGCTGCCTGTGTCATCCTCCTGCTCGGCTGTGCCTGGCTCTGCTCTGCCACCCCACCTTCCCCCAGTAAGTGCCGTGGTGGGTCTGGGGGTGATGGGGTGGGGCAGTGACGCCTTGCTGGGACACCCCAGTATCGTGTCCCTTGACACTTGGAGGCGATGGCTGGGTGTCACAGGGAGAGTTTGGGGCTCTGCTCTTCTGCCTTTCCTCGGTGCTCGCATTAAGAATCTCAGCGAAGACYTGAAATCCAGCCAGCATTTCCCTTCTTGGCAGCAAAATCCAGATTATTGCTCTTGTTACCTGATTTTTCCATCCTCTGGATGTGGAGAGGGGGCAGAGGTTGTGGGAAACCTGTTGGATGTAACCAAAGCCCCCAGGGGTGGGGTGTTCTGGGGACCATCAGGATGGAAATTCTGTAGCTGGGGGTGACGTGCAGAGTCTGTCTGGGTTTTTTTGAGCAAGCCAGAAAAGGGATTTGATCTGGAGTTGTTTGTCTGGTGTCCCAGCACCTTCCTGTTCCTCACTTTCGCTCTTCACATGCAGTGAAAAGCCCCTGAGCACGGGAAGATGAGGCGATGTCCCCGACTGTGGTGGGGAGCTGAGCTGGGGGGATGGCCGGGACTGTCCCAACCCCGTGGGTCTGCTGCTGTGGGTCTGCCCTCCTGATCCCTCTGTGCTGGGCTGAGCAGGACAAGGGACATTGGCAGARGCAGGGATGGGGGAGCAGAGCCTGTCTGGGCTCAGAGCAGGGCACTGAGTTGGGTTGGCAGCTCCGCGGGGGCTGGCACAGGAGGTGGCACAGCTCTGCAGGGTGAGGGCAGTGGGATTTTGGGGGTCCCCTGCCATGGAGGCTCCCCTGCCATGGGAGGTGGCAGCTCCTGCGTGGTCCCTGGTAGGAAGGTCAGTGTGACCCTGATGCCCCTGTGTCCCCACAGTGCTTAGCAAGSGGCGCTCCATGATCCGCCTCACCCCCCAGGAGAAGGGCACATGCTCCGAGGCCTCCGAGGAAGCTTTCCTCAGCAGCCCCCTCAGCACCCTCCTYCTGCCCGCCCTCTACTCCTTGGTGCTGCTCGTGGGGCTGCCAGCCAACGCTCTGGCCTGCTGGGTCCTGGCCACCAACCTCAGGAGATGCTCCAGCACCCTCTTCCTGCTCAACCTGGCCGGGGCCGACCTGCTCTTTGTCCTTCTGCTGCCCTTCAAGATCTCCTACCACCTCCTGGGCAACCACTGGCTCTTTGGGGACTACCTGTGCCGCACCATGGTGGCCTTCTTCTATGGGAACATGTACAGCTCCATCCTCTTCCTCACCTGCATCGGCCTGGAGCGCTACATCTCTGTGGCACACCCGTTCCTGTGGAAGAGCTCCCGCTGGACRCGGGTCAAGGTGGGCATCTGTGTGGGCATCTGGCTGGTGGTGGGGCTGGGCATGAGCCCGCTGCTTTTGCGCTCCCACACACACGAGATCACCAGCCTGAACATCACGACGTGCCACGACGTGCTGGAGAAGGAAACCCAAAGGTTCTTTGGTTATTATTTCCTGTCCCTGGTGGGGCTGGGCTTTGGGCTGCCTTTTGTGCTCATGACCGTCTCCTACAGCTGCATCCTGGCACGGCTGCTGGCCAAGGGAGGTGGCCACGGGCAGGTGGTGCGTGTGCTGGCCCTGGTCCTGCTGGTTTTCATCCTGTGCTTCACGCCCAGCAACGTGCTGCTCTTCATCCACCACCTGCTGGAGCCCTCGGGCTGCAACAACGGCACCTACATCTCCTACGCCCTGGCCCTGGTGCTCAGCGCCTGCAACAACTGCTTCGATCCCTTCATCTACTTCTACGTCTCCCGGGATTTTCGGGGCTGGGTCCRGGATGCGGGGGGCCGCTGCCTGCGGGGGCGGGACGCCTCGTCCAGCAGGTCCACGGACAAGACAGCCCTGCCCCTGAGGTCCAGCGGGCAGAGCCAGGGCTGCCAGGCTGTGTCCTCCTGCCCTGAGGAGGGGGGAGCCTGAAGTGTGCCCACCACGAAGGGCTGGCAATGACTTGGGCAGAAAATCCCACCTGGATCTGAGGCTCACACAGATTTTACCTGTTTTTCTCCTCTGATGACACCAGCGCTGCCCAGCTCCAAGGGTCTCTCAGCTGAGTCCCTGGTACCCCAATCTCCYCACCCGCCGCACCCTGGCACCCCTCCCCGCTCCTCCTGCAGTGATTAAACCCTCCAGAGTACAAATAAACCTTTATTTCTCCCTGCTGGTGGCAGGAATAGGCAYAAACGCCCTGCTGAGGAGGGGCTGTCCTCCCTTGCCAGGACTGCACACCAGGCACACGCGGCCAGCCCTGCTCCTGTTTCTTTCCCCCASCAAAATATGCCACAGTGGATGCAAGAAGGGAAGGGGGGATGGCTTGGGTGTCCTGGCCCTGTCCCATGGGCTCAGTGCTGGATATGGGACACGCTGTGTGTCCCCGTGCTGGCAGGCACCCCCTGCCCGCTGCCTGGCATGGTGGTGTGCTGCCAAAACATGCAGGCACCCTGTTCCTGATTTCATTTCCCCCTTTTCTTGCTTCCCTCGGTGCTGGGCTCGACAACAGATGTGCCACCCATGAGCAAAAACACACGTGGCAGCATCCCCAGCCCTCCCACGAGGGATGGCCCAGCATCCTGGTCCCCACTGGTCCCTTTGGTTCCTGATCCCAGCCTGGCTCCGGGATGAGGAGGAGAAGGTGGAGGGTGAGGGTTCCATGACAGGGGAGTGTGGGGTACCCATCATCACTGCCACCAGGGTACCCATCRCTGGTGCCACCGGGCACGACTCGACCCCGCGGTCGGTGGCCACCCCTTTGGCACAGCGGGTCACGTCACCGGCTGGCCCGGCCCCGGCGCTTGGCCATCGCTCTTCCTGAGGATGACACTGCTGAGCTCCTGGATCAGTTTGTCATTGATGGGCGAGGGGGGCTGCAGGCTCCTCTTCCTGGGCAGCTCCAGGGAGCTCTCTGCCGTGGGACTGCTCCCTGCTGGGGCTGCCTGCTCCCAGTCCCTGCCCAGCACCAGGGAAGGCTCCAYGTTCCTCTCCAGAGAGGACGTTTTTGTGGGTCTGAGCCCCGGCGTTGGAGCTTTGGTGCTCTCCAGGTTCAAGCCCCTTTCGAGGGACACGGCTTTGGTGACAGAGGGCCCTGTCAACATGTGGGCTGGGCTGGCAGGCAGTGAGGAGCGCAGGGCCGTGCCCGGGGGCTGCTCAAGGAATGGGGAYGGCTTCTTGGACCTGTCCACAGGGGGCACAGCCGCCAGCTCGGCCAGCAGCCCCTGTCCCAGATCCAGCGCTTCCAGCTCGGGGAAATTCCCCACTTCCTCATAGACAGGGTCAGCGTCTGCCTCCTTCTCCTGCTGCTCCTCCAGGGAGTCCTGGTGGATCTTCATGGGCTGGGGAGGGTGGGGGCTCAGGGTGAGGGGCACTGTCCACACAGCACAGCTCTGTCCCCCTGACCCTGCCCTCCCTGCACTGCCTGGGGATCCTTGTCCCTCACCRTGGGGCCGGTACCTGCAGGGGTACTCTTGGCTCGGGCACTGCTGCCCTTTTTTCCCCATTGCTGAGGGAGGGGCAGTGTTTAGGTCTCTGCCCATGGGACGGTCCATGCCACCAGCCCAGCCCCCCTTGTCAGAGGGGGTTCAGGGTGGGGAGGGCGCGTAGGTGCCATGCAGAGCACGGAGCCACGTGAGACAAAGTCCAGCCAGGTGGCTTTTGTGGAAACAACCTGGTGACAAGGCCCACCCAAACCTGTCTCCTCACATTTCTTCCACTGATCCCTATGGGCAACGTGTGCCCAACGGGAGAGGTCTGGGAAYGGGGCTGGATTGTTGTGGTCTTGCTTGCCCACCCTGGGACCATGCAGGGACCCCATCCCCAGGTATGGGGCACTCAGAGCAATGGGCACCCCCTCATCTGCCCCACAATTTGGGCACATCTCCGAGTGCCTGTGGGATGCYGCAGGTGAGCCCTGGCACAGYGCAAAGCCAGCAGCGTTTGCTCCAYGAGTGCAGGTACTTACAAAGAACATGGACAAAGTCCTTCGCGTGTGCAGGCGGCGCTAGAAACAGAGGAGACGGACAGGGATAAGCACGGGGAGAGGACATGGAGCAGGGCCACAGCTGCCTGGGCAGGCAGGGGACAGGCAGGGGGTGCAGGAGCACRGAGAGCTGCCACGGACAYGGCCACGGACACGAGCACGGCACACACAGCACCCATCAGTGCACCAGCTCCCCAGCCCTGCGGTGGGCACAAGGCCTTGGGATGGCTACAAGGACCCAGGAGAGTGAAGGATAACCCGTGGGCAGGTGGAGCTGCGGGGCTTTACCAGGGTCTGGTTGGCAGAGAGCATGGTGGCATCAGTGCTGTCCCCGTGCAATGGCACCAGTGGCATTGTCCCAAACTTCTGCTTGGCCAGGTCGGAGGAGGAGCGGCGGCGCAGCACCACAGGGCGCAGGTCATCGTGCTGTGCACAGGGACAGGGTGGGGACAGGGGTCATGCCCTGCCAGCCCCACCYCAGCCCTGCCCAGACGGGTGGCACGGCCAGCCTGCACCCACCTGAGCCTTGAGGATGCTGGTGGTCCAGTCCCAGAGCTCAGCCTGCCCTGAGCACACCAGGTACCTGCAGAGGAGACAGTGGACAAGCTGCCAGGGAGCAGGGCCAGTGGGGCCCGTGTCCCCTTGTCACCTTGTCTGTGAGCCTGTCAGGCTCATCTACACCCCATGAGGCTGCCTGAAACTCTCTGCATGCCCAAATTGCTGGTCCAAGGCAAGGCGAGAGTTTTTTGGGCACCCAGTGTCTCCCAGCGTGTTGATGTGGGTGGGGAGGCAGGGAGGCTGTGTGCCAGGGACATGGGTGGCCCCTGCAGCCTGGCTCCCCCCTTGTGGCAGGGACAGGGTGGTCCCAGTGCCTCTGGAGTGCCCAGCTCTGCCCTGACCCCAGGGTCCTGTAGCCCTGCCCTTGGCTCTCCCACTCCCCTAAAACCAGGGACAGCCCTCCCCCAGCCCCGGCATGGCAGGGGTGGGTACTCACAGCTGCTGCTTGTCCAGGGTCAGCGTGAAACCCCACCTGGAAAGGAACACAAGGCTGTGGGGCAGTACTGCCCAGCTCAGGCACAGCCTGGGCTTGGGGGGCAGCAGGGCAGGGGGCTGAGCTTGCCCCACAGGCACAGGTTTTGTGGGTCCAGGTGGAGCCTGGTGTGCTCCAGCAGCCGTGTTTGGGTGCCAGGAGCAGGGACTGAGGGATGGATGGCCCAGTGCCACGGCAGGGAAGGTGCCACTTACTGAGCTGGTGGCTTCAGCTTCTTCCTGATGCCCATGTAAACCTTGGCTGCGTCCAGGGGCCACTCACGCTCTGGCTTGGCACTCTGGCAAAGGACATCCAGTGGGTCAGCCGGGCTCAGTGCCAGCCTCCCTGCCAGCCTCCCTGCCAGGGGGACAGCCACCACTGTGCCCCYGCTGTCCCCAGGCTCTYCCTCCCTTTCTCCCCTCCTGCCCTCAGGGCTCAGGTCTGTCCCACAGCATCCCCTGGGTACCCTCTTCTCCTTGAGCAGCAGCAGCCTCCTGTCCCGGATGACAAAGTAGCGCTCCTGGAACTTGTTCCCCAGCAGCTTGGGGGGCTCCTCTCGGCATTTCAGCAGCCCACACTTGGGGGTCTCACGCTTGGCACCTGTCCAGTGTGGGGACAGGAGGGTCAGGGGGGCCGGCAGGGGGGGAGGGGGCTGAAGTATTGCAGGAAGATCCCACTGTGGGTCCCGGGGCTGTGGCCCTGATGGTTGTGACCAGGACAAAGGGGAGCTCAGGCTGAGCTGTCCCCCTCTGGGGACACCCCGAGGGGCTGGGACCCTTTGTGCCTGCCTTACCTGTGAAGAGACAGCTGCCCTCGCCAATGGGCACCTTCCTCACCAGCAGGTACGCRGCGCTGGGCTCCGGGAGCTTGCACCACTGCAGTGCCTGCTCCAGCACCTTCTCCTTGGGGTGCAGGGGCCGCTCTGGGGACACAGGGACACTCTCACCACCGTGTCCCCTTCCCTGTGCCAATCCCTGCGCCCTCTGTCATCACCAGAGAGCCACTCCCTGTACCCTGCACCTCCCCCTCACCAGTCTGGCCACTCCCTGGGCCATCCCCGCTGCTCACCCAGCTCGCCRTTCTCCAGCGCCTCGAAGGTCAGCCAGATGTCCAGGCTGGCAGCCACGTTGCGCATCTCCAGTACCTGGTTGGTGAGTTCCTCTGCTGTCATYGTGGGGGACACCTGCGATCAGACACACGGRGAGCTGGGCTGGGAGRTGCAGGAGGGGTCCCAGGRATGCCAGGMRGCTGTGTCCCTCCTCACGTGCTCCRTCACAGCCCTCCTCAGGGACTCACCTTCAGGGTGACGCAGCAGTCRGGCACCTTCTGCTCCAGGTAAACCTCGATGATGAGGTCTCCTGCCTGGGAGAGCTGGGGGGAGAGTGGGTKGCATTGGTGCCCTGCTGGGTGCTGAGCACATTCCCATTGCCAGGGGCTGGAGATGGTGTCTCGAGAAGCTGGGGCTGCTTCTCCCTTGGGCAGGAGCCTCAAGGTGATGGGCACAGGGGGGATAAGTGGGAAAGGTCCTTTCCCGAATGTGGACATGGGACGGTGCGCACCCAGGGTGGCCAGCTGGGAGTGTCCCCATCCTCCAGTCAGTCCCACCAGCCCGGGGGTCCCTGATGTGGTGGGGGCCAGCAAGCACATCCCCAGTACCTGGGTGTCCTTCCAAGTGGTGATCAGGCTGTTCTCCAGATCCATCTGGGATACCTGGTCCTCGTCAATCTGCCGGAGGAAGGGTGCACAGGGTCAGTGTGGAGCRGGGTACAGCTTGAGGACACAGGGATGTGGGGGCAGGCAGAGTGGGGCAGGATGGGGGCTCCAAGGGGGTTTGGATCTGCAATGGGGGGAGCTGCAGCCCCTGCTTACATTGAAGATGCTGACGTAGTTGTCGATGAGATCTTCCATCACCTTGACCTCGTGCTCCCCTTTGCCGTCCGTCTGGAACAGGCTGGGTGCRAAGAGCAGCGACAGGTTCTTGGTGCTCATCTGGTTGAGGTCTGCGCATTTCTGCACCCTGGCACAAGGAGCAGACAGGTGAGGGGCTGCTCCCACTCAGGGTGGGGGTTCAGCCCCAGCCACCCTCCTCTGCCTCGTATAAACTCTCCTGAGAAAGAGCCTGGATATCCCCAGCCCCTCAGCAGTGRGAATTTCAAACTGGGCAGCTCCTTTTTTGAGAAATTCCTGCTGCCATCAGACCAGACCACAGCACTACCTCAATCTCTGATCAGAGACAGGAATTGAGTGTTTTCCCTCTTTTTTGGACACTGGGTGAAGTTTATATCCCACAGGGTTTTGTCCCCTAGTCCCAAACTTCCTGTCATTCCCCAGTGCTTCAGGATGACTTTGGGAGCCTTCGAGGTGCCCCAGGCACGTTCCAGCACCACGCTGGGCGTCGTGGAAAAGGGCATGGGTATGGGGCACTCCCTGTCTCTTAGGGATAGGAACCATCATTCCCTGGGCAGCAGGGAGACCCCACAATGCTGGCTGGTCTTGGGGACCCCGGCTGGACGAGGGGAGTGTGCGGATATCCCCACTGACCGGTAGAGGTGCCCGATGAGTGCAGCCAGGGTCTTGTGGTTGAGGCGAGGCAGGCGGTGGATGAGCTCCTTGTACCGCTCCAAGCGCTGCGGCTTTGAGGAGATTTCTGGAGGGAGAAAAACCAGATCCCAGCTGAGCCCAGCAGATCCAGAGGTGACAGTCAGGATCCTGATCCCATCTGGAGGGACACTTCAGGGAACCCAGGGTGGGAGCAGGGCTGGTGAAGGAGGCACCTGCAGCCTCCTTCCACTGTGGGTGCAGCTCCAGGGTGAAGATGGGATCCTCCAGCTCCCGGAAGAACCTCTTCAGCACGTCCGTGACRTCCTCGATGAAGTTGTCGCTGATGCGCAGTTTGACGTTGCGGGCGTCCCGCCGGAACTCCTCCATCAGTACCTTGATGCGGGACTTGGCCCCGTTCTTGCGGTAAATCCCCTCGTGCCGCAGCCCTGGGATGGGACATTGGGGTCACAGGGGCTCAATCCTACTCAGAGGATCCTTCATAGAGCTGCTGGGCCTGGAGCAGTGGCTCCTGCCTGGCCCCAGTGGCCATCCCGAGGGGTCAGAGGGCACCGGGGCTGTGCTGGGCTCACCGTACTGGGTGATGAAGGCGATGCAGGAGTCCACGATGATGGGTATGTCCCCCCTGCTCAGCTGCTGGTCCCGCAGTGCGTTGCCCCGGCCCCCTGCGGACGCCTGGATGTCACTGTACCACGCTGCTGARTCCACCCGTGACAAGCCCTGCAGGTAAAACGTCCTGAGAACAACAAGGGCAGAAGAGAGGGAATGAGGGTTGTCACAGGGATGGGTTRTCCCCTCCTGCCTGTGACAGGGAGCAAGGGCCAGCCAGGCTGACCTGTTGGACACCCTACCCTGCCAAAACCCCTCTGCAAACCCCTTGGTCTCAGCCCTGCTATCCCAGCAGCATCCCCACCATGGATTTGGGATCAGCATCAGCCCATCAGGAATGGCTTGGCTCAYTCCCCATCAGGACTCACCTCCCCATTTCCACCAGGATCAGCAGCTCCTTCTTCTCCGGGGTGTCCGTGGGGGGAACCAGACCTGCATTGGGGCAAGAAGTCGAGGGCTCAGAGCCACGCACGGCCACCACGCGGTGCCACCACGCGGTGCCACCAGGCCGTGACACGGCACTCACTGAGCTCCTGCAGGCGCCGCAGGTTGATGCTGTCCTCGGCCCCGTCCTCCTCGGCCGGGCAGATGAAGAGGTGGCCTTTCTGCAGGATGAAGAAGGCCCGCTGCCAGCGCTCGGGGTTCAGCATGCACTTGTAGCGCAGCTGGCCCACACGCTGGAACTCGTAGCCCAGCAGGCAGTGACAGCTCACGGGGGTGAACCACTGTGGGATGGAACAGGAGACAGCAGCGTGAAGACAGGGCTCCACCCCTGAGGSCTGACCCCCACCAGGGTGGGGACAGGTCACCAGGGAGGATGGGACACCCTGGGAAGGGAAGAGGGTGCTGCCCACAGTGGAGGATGGGCATGGGGAGCTGTGAGGAATGACCCACAGGGACAGCCTGGGGACACTGTGGGGCTGGCTCACCTTGCCGATGGCACTGGCCCAGGCTTGCAGCGTTTCAGGCCCATCAGTTCCCAGCTGCTGCACTTTTTCCCCAGTGAGGAAGAGCTCGAGGGTGAAGCGAAACCTGCAGAGGATGAAGCAGCCCATGAGGGCACCCCTGCCACGGCACCAAGCAGGGATCAYTGCTCTCTGTGTGCCCCAGGCTTTCTGGGCATGACTGGGGCCAGGCTGGGGGTACCTTTCAGTGGGGCCAGGGCTGCTGAGTGCCTGGTGGGGCCTGCTGACCCCCAGGGAGATGAGGTCCCCGCAGTCAATGCGGCCCAGGGGCTCAGTGCACTTCTCGGTCTCAAAGAAGAGCAGGGCTCTCTCCAGAGAACACCACGTGTGCTGGAAGTCTGTGGGAATGGGGGGGTCAGTGGCACTGGGGCAGGCACCCCGCTGGCTGTCCTCCCRCACTCCCCACACTCACCCTCTTTGCTCTTCCTGGCCCCTGGGAGCCTCGGGGGGGCGGTGGCCCGGTGCAGGTACCCGCTGTGTGTCACCGGCTGGGTGATCTCATTGTAGACGCCCTCAGGACCCGGGTCCCGTGCGCGGGGGCTCCCTGTGGGGCAGGGCACTGAGAGCGGGCACCCACCACACTGTGGGTACCAGAGGGAGATCCCACTTGTGCAGGTGYTGGCAAGGGGGGTGCAGGAATGGGGTTCCCCAAACAGGGACCCCAGAGGAACCCGTTGTCTCACCCCATCCTAACACAGGGTGGGTYCCCCAGGGAGCCACAGCACCTGACACCCTGGCTGTCCCCAGYCCTGGGGTGCGCTGAGAGGGGCAGGGTCAGTGGCAAAGAGGACGTTCCTCCATTGCAGCCAGATGGATTCGAGGGTCCTCGTTACCTGAAAGGTTCCTGGGCCTTTTGCTCTCYGGTCCCCACCAAAGCTCGGGCCCTGGGACCACCTCGCTGGCAGCAGGATCAGAGGCCAGAGCAGCCTCCGAGGACGAGAAGAACTGCAGGATGGTCTTGAGCAGGGCTGGTCCGGCCACCGCGGTGCACAGCGCCTGGGGCAAAAGAGGCACTTTTAGGGACCACATTCTGGCTCATTTAGGGACCCTGTCCTGGCTCATGGAGACCCCAACTCGTGCCCGGGGCTGCTCCAAGGCAGCCAGACCAGGGCAAAACCTCCCAAAACCTGCCTGGCACAAGGGTGTGAGCACACACAGCCAAGCAGGAGGGGCTGACACCTCACACCAGGAGCTCTGGGGTGGCTCCCTGCACCCCGAGGTGGYCCCTACCTGCAGCACTTCCTCCTGCGTGGCGTACTGAGGGTGGGGCAGGCGGTACCGTCCCTCTCGGTACTTGCGGGCGATGAAATCCCGCCTCTGCTCGGCACCGCTGTCTGGGGTGATGGCCTCGCTGGCGGGGAGCCGGGCAGCCCAGAACCGGTTGGCTCGGTCATTTCCCAGCACGATGAAGAGCTGCGGGAGAGTGCCACGGTCACGGCGAGCCCCAGGGCTGGCGGGAGGAGCAGGACTCACGGTGTTCCTGCACCCTGAGGAACACT